ACGCGGCGGGTGGTTCCCTGCTGCCTGGACCCGCGGAGCCCGGGCCTGGGCACTCCCTCCCTCCGTTACGGACCCTGCAGGTCAAATAGTCCTACCCTCGGCTGTTTCCCAGGACCTTCCACTCCCGCCGCTTGTCCCATCCGAGTGCCCATCCTTGTGCCCATCCGAGTGCCCACCTGAGTGCCCATCCGAATGCCCATCCGAGTGCCCATCTGAATGTCCATCCTTGTGCCCATCCGAGTGCCCATCCGAGTGCCCATCCGAATGCCCATCCGAGTGCCCATCTGAATGTCCATCTGAGTGCCCATCCGAGTGCCCATCTGAATGCCCATCTGAGTGCCCATTCGAGTGCCCACCTGAGTGCCCATCTGAATGCCCATCCGAGTGCCCACCTGAGTGCCCATCTGAGTGCCCATCCGAGTGCCCACCTGAGTGCCCACCTGAGTGCCCATCCGAGTGCCCCGGGACAGACTTCTGTGGCAGCTCAGAGATAACCTGGGATCGCAATCAGAACCGATGTGCTGGGCCTGCGCGGTGACGGCGCCTTTAGGTGGAGCTGCTGGTCACCAAGTCAGCACCTGCTTGAATTGGTGTTTATTAAAGTGCTGTTGACGGTGCAGTGACAGCGGTTCTCAACCTGTGGATCGATCCTTTGGGGGTCGAAGGACCCTTTCACAGGGGTCACCTAAGACCATCGGAAAACACATATATAATTACATATTGCTTTTGTGATTAATCACTATGCTTTAATTATGTTCAATTTGTAACAATGAAATTGGGGGTCACCACAACATGAGGAACTGTATTAAAGGGTCACGGCATTAGGAAGGTTGAGAACCACTGGATTAAACCATTACAGCATGGGAGGGGGGGGAGGACACTGATGTTTGTCCCTTCTCTGGGACGATGAAGAGGTAAGGTTTTCACGGAGCTTGCCATGAAGTGAAGAGATGGCCTCACGTGCTTCTGAAAAAGAAATAGACGGTACCTGCTTTTATCACTAGTCAACCTGGCATCACAGGATATTGAATGAAAGCAAGAGGGGAACTGAACTCTGTTCAGCTTTTGGGGAAATGTCATAACTTTCCATTTTCAACTCTCATTCCTCTAGTACAGTGGTTCTCAACCTTGGCTGCACATTAGAATCACCTGGGAATCTTTTTAAAATCCTGATGTCTGGGCCCCATCCTCCGGAAATTCTGTTTCTTTGTTGTGGGGTGGGGCCACAACATTAGTAACAAAGAAACAGAATTTCCGGAGGATGAGGCCTAGAAATCAGGATTTTAAAAAGATTCCCAGGTGATTCTAATGTGCAGACAAGGTTGAGAACCACTGCGTGAAAACTGGTGGTTTTCACCTTTAAGAAGCTAATGAAAGAGTCCCAAGTGGAATAGCTGATATATGCCCTTGAAAGTACAGGAAACAGGCCTCTGCGGTCCATCTCCAGCATAGCCAACTTTCAGTGCAGAAAACTAGCAGCATGTTGCCAGTTGTTACTGAATTTTCAGGGTGGGGGTTGGGGGAGGCGGAGCAAAGGATCCAGGGAGGAGGGGAAAGGGTATGAGCACAAAAAACTGTGTGCGGACCAGCAGCACATTTTCCAGGAAGATCTGCCTGCGCAGCTAGACAAGGGGAGGTGGAGACAACTAGGAAAGGCCTCAGCCCATTTTTTAAAATAATCCAATAGGAGACAATAAGACCTAGGCAAGGTTGGGGGGGGGGGGCTGCTAACCGCACAGTACTCAGCCAATGAGCAGCCAGGGGAGGGGCTCCGGGACTAGGGATAAACGGCCTGGCATCCACGCTCCCAGGGTGCCTGCTCAACCAGACACCCGATCTTGCAAGACCCATTGAAAGTCTCATTTTTTGCTATTCTTCTGTCTCCCAGTCTGTTATCTGAATTCAGACAGGTGAGCGTTTCTCACAAAAGAATCCCCAACTAGGCAGTTTGTTGTGCCGGATTCTGAGTTATCCATGGCAATGTGAAAATTCTGTGAAACTCCATATCAGTTTATTTCTCCAGTAGACATTAATTCTGCCCATTATTAACTTCCAGGCTGCCAGGAAGAAAATTTCCAGTGAAGATGAAATACATATCCGTCTGTTTTCTGTTACCTGCTACTTAAAATTTAGATGTGTATATAAAGCCAATTGTATAACTGATAAATCTTTATTGCTAAAGGTTATTTACATAAATGTTTAAGGCAGAAGAAAATTATAAATCACAGAAGTTCTGTTTGGGAAGAAGACACTGAATAACTGGGTGTTTGGCCAAGACACAGCTACGAGTTTTGCTGAAACACATTCCCTGAGTTTGTAACTACTTTTTCATTGTACTGTGGGACACCTTCCAGGCCATCTGCCTGAAGAAACATCAGTGTTTATATTTTAAAAGGGTGAATTATGAAGAAAAAACAGAAAATGTGAATTAAAAATAATATTGACTCTAAATCTAATTTTTAGTTTCAAAACTGGGTATTGAAACTTTACTTTGTCAGTGTAATGGGCAAAACAAGACAGGTATGGAATGTATTTGTGAATCAAGGTTTGTATGTAAATTACACCAATTTATTTAAGAACTCTTGGGGGAAAATATCAAAGTTCAGTGTTAGACATGAGCAGAGCAAGGACGAAGGGCCAGGTACAGAAAGCTCCAGGTGCTCAGCAAGGGGCAAAGCTGGGAAAACAAGCGCCTCGCCCCCAGGGTGACCTCTCCTCCCCTCCCACATCACTGGTCCTGCGGTTTGGACCCCGATCTCTCATATCCCTGGTGAGGCGGTTTAGACCCCGACCTTCCCTCCCTAGAGATAACATCGAGGCCTCAGTTGCCTTTTGGTTCCAGGCCCAGAAAAGCAGCAAAACCAGACAAGTGACATGGTGGCTGCCTCAGGTCCAGCCACATTGACTAATGAACCCCACCCCACCCCCACCCTGGAAACAACAAATCAGGGGAGACTATAACCCTGAAAGAGCTCACCTGGGAAGCTGATGAATATTCTACTAAAGGCCCTGAGCCCTCCCCTAAGATTCCCACCTGCAAGAGAGAGAACTATGCTCAGAGCAAAGGACCCCATGTGCACTCTCCCTCCAAGGAGCAGACCCCCCCCCCCCCATTCCCTCACAGGCACGTATCCCCCACCTCATGAGACTTGGAACCAGGGGGCGATGGCAGTGACAGGTCGTCGGGGACTCACCCCCTGACCCTGTCTCCAGGCCCCCTGTGCTCTGACCTCCCAGTGAGCAGAGCAGCACCTGGACTCTGCTGCTGCTTCTTCTCTGCCTTCCTTGCTTCACTGTCCTGAGTACATTTCGCTGCCATCGTGGGCCCCGTACCCTTTGGCTCAGTGCTGTGCAGCCCTTCCCTTGGGATATCCCCAACCTCCAGCCCCTTTTCCTTAAAGAAATTCCATTTGTCTTTATTCGCCGTCTGAGATGGCCGCTTTGCCTGCCTGCCCACCACGGCATTTAACCTTCCATTCAGTATCTTTAAATACAGATCATCTATTTGAAAATTCCAGTTTATTAAAAGAAATAACATCTTTAGCCCAGTCAGTGAAAACTGAACATATCATGTTGTAAAGATGTGGGGGAAGCCTAAACTTTTAGATGTTTCCTGTCTTCTGAATAAATGCTGCTATAACTTAAGTTTGGAAATAAGCCAGAAAACTAGACACTTTTTAAAAAGCTCTCTTTTTTTCATAGCTCACTTATAACGTTTCTTTTATCTATTAGTATAAGAGAAAAAAAGAATAAAGTTGATTTCATTCTGTTAGTTTTGGCATTTCTTTGCCCCACACCAAATTCTCCCCCAGAACAAGTGAATTTTTAAAAAAGAAAGAAGTAACCTCTTCCAGTTCTCAGAGCTTTGTGTACCATTGAACAAAATGACCATCATTTAGGGTTGATTTTTTTCACCTGCCCTAAATTTTTAAAATCATAAAATACCATTTCAGAATTCTTCTAATTAACTGCTTGATGATCCCGGCTACAAAGGAATGAGCATACTTTGCTGTTGTTACAGATCATAGAGGTGGGGAGGGGGCAGGAGACACAGCCATCACTGCTCTGAAAGACCTGCGCTGTCGATGGCTTTTCACAAAACAGAAAAAAGGTGCCGGTGACAAGCAGTTCACCCAGAGAGTGGCATTTGTCACCTGTTAGCACTACGGTAGCCTTTCCTTAGCGACTCTGTGATTTAGACGGTGCTCTCTGGTAAACTTTTGATCAATTGACAAAAATAGGAAAAAACTACCATCTAGGGATATTGAAAGGAAGGTCATACGGTAAGATGTGTCCCAGATTAAAGGAGCGCCGTGAAAACCAAACTGCTCTGCGCCGCTTAACTATGGGGTTTTCTGTTCCTGGAAACAGCTGGGAGGTTGGCCTGCTTCGCTGCGAGGAGGACAGGTGAACCCATCAACTCCAGCAGCAGGAGCGCTGCTCCCGGAGCGAATGCAGAGGAAATGCGGGTGGACAGGGGGCTTTCCTCGCAGGCGCTGCCAGGGGTGCAGACGAGTCATCATCACCGAGGACTGCTCCGGCCAGAGCGCTGCTTCCCAGGGCACAAACGCTCACTTGAAGTTGCTTGCGCTCTAACTAACAGAGAAGAGGTCCTCAGCGAGGGGTGCTTTGGCCGTGTCTCCCGGGAAGGCTCGGGTGCTTGTCTGGGTGGTCCTGGGTAGAGCTGGTCGGAAACAGGTCACCACGAAAGGGCCAGCGACAAGCTTCCCTCCACTTCGGCTCCTCCTGGGGTCTTGCCCTTGGCCTCCTCCGCCTCCTGAAACACAAAGCTTCTGTGGGCCATGCACTTGGGGAGGGGGCGCCGGGACCCCCGGCCCGCGGACCATGCACTTGGGGAGGGGGCGCCGGGACCCCCAGCCCGCGGACCATGTACTTGGGGAGGGGGCGCCGGGACCCCTGGCCCGTGGACTCTGCGAGCCTCCATTTAACAGACTGGGTTTAACGGACAGAACGCCGGTCCGTGTGTCACATGTGAACATGAATACCTGTTAGTTTTAAAGTGCTTTTAACCGAGATTTGCGTATAATTAAATCAACAGGTTGGTTTTTTGTTGTTGTTGTTATCAATTCACTGTTGCTTTTAACAAATTTTCGTGAGTGGGCCACATGTTGGAAAAAACACTGATTTCGCCGACATGAATAAACATTACTACAGTATCTGCAACCACAGCCCAGCATGTAAGTGCAGAGTCGCTGCTGGTAGACAATGTAGGGGAACGGCCAGCCGCCACACGGCCCCGCACCGGGCATTGCTCCTGTGGTCCGGGCCACAGCCTCCAACCGAGACCACGTCCCCTGGCGCCCAGCACGGTGCCCGCCTTCTCGGTGACCGCTGAACGCACACACTCACCAGGCCCGTTCAGCATACACTTAAAGCTGCAGCACACAAATAGAAACCTTCTCTGCGAAGTTAAACCTTTTCTACATGATTCTAATGACACAGATGTGTCTACATACGTAAAAACAGGTGGTAAACTATCGAATTTGTCCATTTTGTAGCATATGAATTGGGAAAACCTACCTTCTCATATAAGGGACTTGGGGCTTTACCGGACACCCCCTCGCCCCAATTAGTCTGTTACATCGCGGTTTTACTGTACATACATATTGATAGACCTGTTCTCCATTGTGAATGAAAATATTCTTAAATGCATTTATTCTCCCCTAATTTCACTTTTAAAAGACGTTTCCTGATTCTTATTCTCAGTCAGTGTCCTTAATTCATCGCCTCTGCCTCCTGTGGACACTGGTGATCTGTACTCACTCACACACACATTCTCCTCTCTTTCCCTCCCTCCCTCCCTCTCTTCCTTTAATTGGAAGCAAAATCAAACAAACAGAAAAGTAGATGAGAGGCATTCACCCATCACCTAATCTTAAAGCATTTTGCCTTACTCAAATTTTTTTTGGCTGACATTTTTTCCCTGACAAATATTCCAATATGCATTTTTAGAATAGGAACATTTTCCTATATAACCACAACACCCTTATTATACCTAATAAAAATTAATAATAATTTCCTAATATCGATATTCAAATTTTTCATATTCAAGACTCCCAATTGTCCCCCAAATCTTTTTACAACTAGTTTGTTCAAACTAGTGCCATCCAGTCAGGGACCACACATTGCACTTGACTGTGTTAGCTCGTTACATTTCTTTGAATATAAAAGAGCCCCATCTTTTTTCCATGACCCGCATGTTGGAGAACCTGCTTGATTTTAAGAAGAAAATAGCCTTTGGCAAAATCTCTCTGACACCAAATTCGTCTTTCTGGGTTCACGATGGAATCGCTTCTCTCCATAGTCTATTTTATAGATCCTGAAGGTACTTTCACCGGAGTCTCGGGCTATAAAAATGTGACTCTTTTTACAAATAATAATAGTGGACCTACTTCAGAGAATAGAAGAAATTCTGATCATATAAAAAACTAAATCGCCCTAACCGGTTTGGCTCAGTGGATAGAGCTCGGCCTGCGGACTGAAGGGTCCCAGGTTCGATTCTGATCAAGGGCATGTACCTTGGTTGCAGGCACATCCCCAGTAGAGGGCGTGCAGGAGGCAGCTGATCGATGTTTCTCTCTCATTGGTGTTTCTAACTCTCTATCCCTCTCCCTTCCTCTCTGTAAAAAATCAATAAAATATATTTTTTTTAAAAATCATCCTATCTTTCACGCCTGATAAACCTGAAAACTAGAAAAACAAAATCACACACTATTAAAACTGGATTCGTGGTCCCAATAACTAAATGAGAGAAATTGAATAGTTCTGTCAAAACGTCGGGCCTATCTTTTTAAAAGCAATATTAGAACCTGGCTGGTAGCTCAGTTGGTTAGAGCGTCATCCCGACCCCGAGGTTTCAGGTTCATCCCCAGTCAGGACACATTCAAGGGTCAACCAATGAGGCATAAATAAGTAGGACACACACAGATCTCTCTCTCTTTCTCTCTCTCTCTCTCTCCCCCTCCCTCCCTCTCTCTCCTTCTCTCTAAAACCAATCAATAAAAATATATTTATTTACATGTTGAAAGTTAATTTGTTATTCTTAAATAAAGAATTCTCAAATCTTAGAATTCTCTCAGTTTAACTGCCTAGCTTCCTAAGACTTTGCACAAATCACACTCAGAGGAGAAGCCGTCCGTAACGCAGACCCAGCACCTCCCATTCACATGGGAAACACTTAACAGCCATATCATCGGGGAGATCCACATTGGAGACGAGCCGGAAAGAAGGGAACCATCTGCGACCTCACCATTGAGGAACGTTAGTCTGTGTCTTCCAGGTAAACCGCGACCTTCTTCTCTTGGTTGAGTCTTTCTTCTTCTTTTCTGTAAGAAAGAAGCAGAAACCAATGTCAAGCCAACAAGACCAGAGCAAGGGAGGCGAATCTTACATAGCTTCGGGCAAGGCATCCTTCCCCACATTCTGGGGAGAATCACATGCACCTGGATATAGAGCCCAGCTTCCGGAGAGCCAGGGCACCAGTGCCGCCTCACCTCTCACACTCAGTGCCTTCCCATGACCCTGGGTGTCTGAACTCAGACACTTCCCAGAATATTTGTAGAAGGGAGCCGTATAATTAGGGAACTGCAGGGATTTAAAGCAGACACCTTAGTTTACTATTGGTATCTTACCGCTAATTCTACTCCTTATTCAAAATAGAAAAAGTTTGAGGGGAGGGAAGGAGGTGAAAGAATTAAGTACAAATCGGTAGTTATAAAATAATCAAGGGGGTGTGACGTAGAGCATAGAGAATACAGTCAATGACTATGTACGGGGCCAGGTGGGTACTGCCTATCGAGGGGAACACTGTGTGAAGTATATGATTGTCTAGCACTCTAGCCACTACATTGTACACCTGAAACCAATACAAAATAATATTGAAAGTAAATTGTATTTGAAAAATTTTAAAAAGACAGAAAAAGTTTTGTGTTAACCTAGAAGTCATCTTTATTCATTACTAGTATATTCAGTTTAACCCCTAGAGTGCTGGGGAGCGCGATCTCGCTCCTCCTGTCTTTCGCCAAAAGTGCCGGGAGCGCTATCACGCTCCTCCTGCAGTGTCACTATTAGATGCTAGTAGTTCACTCTTTATGTGGGAAAAAAATTTTAAAACCTTAACTTAAAATGCCTTGGCAATGTTAGCATAGTTCCTAGGATATTGGTTGGCACTCAAAGGGTTAAACCAGAACCTCAGAGGTGGGTTGTTAGGCTCCTTAAAATCAATTCTATTTATTTCAGTAAATATTTCTCAAGGAAAACAAGCAAATGGTGCTGGGAGTACCAAAAAACTGCAACCTGTGCAAAGGAATGAATTTGGACTCCTACTTCACACCATCTACAAAAATTAACTCAAAATTAATCAAAGGCATAAATGTAAGAACTAAAACTGTAAAACTCTTAGAAGAAAACATAAGCACAAATCTTCATCATGTTGGGTTAAGCAATGGTATCTTCAATACAACACCAATAACATAAGCAACAAAAGAAAAAAATTGATAAATTGGACTTCATCAAAATTTTAAACTTTTGTGCTTCAAAAGACACTGTGAAGAAAGTGAAAAGACAACCCACAGAATGAGAGAAAATCATTGCAATCATACATCTAATAAAGCACTTTTAGATATTCTAAAATATATAAGGAGCTCTTACAGCTCAATAATAAAAAGACAACCCAATTTTTAAATAGGCAAAACATTTGAATAGATATATCTCCAAAAAGATATACAAATGGCCAATAAATACATGGAAAGATGTTCAGCATCACTAGTCATTAGGAAAATACAAATCAAAACCTCAATGAGCCCTGACCAGGTATCTCAGTTAGTTAGAGCATCTTCCCTATACACCAAGGTCGGCAGTTCGAGCCCCAGTCAGGACACATACAAAAGCAACCAATGAATGCATAAATAAGTGGAACAACAAATCTCTCTCTCTTCTTCTTCTCTCTTCTTCTCTCTCTCTCACTCAAATCAATAAGTAAAAAATTTTAAAAACCACCTCAATGAGAAGCCACTTGACATCCACTATGGCTATAATCAAAAGGACAGACAATAATAAGTGTTGTCAATGATGTGAACAAACTGGCATCCTCATGCATTGCTGGTGGGATGTAACATGGTGCATCTGTTTTGGAAAATAGTCTGGGAATACCTGGAAAAGGTAAACATAGAATGAACAAGTATTTTAGCAATTTCACTCCTAGGTATATACCCAGAAGAACTGAAAACATATGTCTAGGCGGGAGTGGCCAAGGAAAGGTCAATGGGGGGGAAAGGGAGTCATATGTAGTACTTTCAACAATAAAGAATTTAAATTTTTTAAAAAAGGAAACATGTCTACACACAAATTTATAGACCTATGTTCATAGCAGCATTAGTCATAGTAGCCAAAAAGTAGAGAAAACCTAAATGTCCATCAATTAAATGGATAAACAAAATGTGATATATCCACAGGTGGAATGAAGTGCTGCTACATGCTATAACATGGATGGGCTTTGAAAACCCTATAATAAGTCAAAGAATCCAGACACAAAGGCCACATATTGTATGATTCTATTTATAGGAAACGTCCCAAACAGGCCAATCCACGGAGACAGAGAGCAGAGTAGGCAGGGGCGGGTGAGAGGGGGATGGAGGGAGTGACAGCAAGAGGGTGTGGGGTGTCTTTTGTGAGTGATGAATATATTCTGGAATTAGTGGTGACTATGGAATATTAAAAGGGTGAATTTTATAGTGTGTAAATTTTATCTCAATAAAAAAATATTTACTGAGCACCTAATAGCAGCACGGCTGACTTCCCTAGGTACTGATTCACAGCGACCCTGCTGACCGCCCAGTGGCTCTTAGAAATGTGTGCTTTACATTAAAGGTGAGGAGTATTCTTTTTTTCTTTTTCTTGTTTTGGTTAATCCTCACCCAAGGATATTTTTTTCATTGATTTTTTAGAGAGAGTGGAAGGGAGTGAGGGAGGGGAAGAGAGAGAGAAAAAAACAACAAGGGTCTGAGAGAGACACATCAATAAGTTGCCTCCCGCAAGTGCACCGACCAGGGCCAGGGATTGAACCTGCAACCCAGGTACATACTCTTGACCGGGAATTGAACGCTGGACCCTTAGGTGCACAGGGCAATACTGTAACCACTGAGCACACTGGCCAGGGCAGGAGTGCTCTAAAAAAGCTTTGTCTAACAGATAGGAGTTTCTTATCCAATATTATATTAGTTTCAGGTGCACACCCCAGTTAGACATTATGTAACTTGCTAAGTGATCCTCCCGATAAACCTCATACCCATCTGATGAAACAGATTTCAATATCAAATCCTCCATCATGAAATCTGTAAAACCGAGAGCCTTTTGTAAAGTCCCTAATCCACCCCAATGCGCTCATCCTGGGAACCTGAACCCTTTCCTCTAAGATGTACTCAAAGGGCAGAGCGCCACTCCCCAGTGACTAGCCTCCCTGTGAGTGCCAGGTGCCACCCTAAGGGAGAGGAGGAGACGGCCCGGGCTGCCCAGCCTTACGGTGTGATCTCCACCACCTTGTGGGCCCTCTCGGCCCACCGCCGTTTGCGGAAATGCTGGAAGAGGACCACCCCGATCACTATGATGACCATCAGGGCGCAGGCGGAGCCAATGGCCAGGGCCAGGAAGTAGATCTCGGAGAAGCGCACTGGGGAGAGAAAAACGGTCCAGTTAGGGTTCTCTAACAGCGGAGGATTGTGATGTCAGCTAAAGGTACAATAGGGATGCACTTTTTAAAAATTTTTTATTGATTTCAGAGAGGAAGGGAGAAGGAGTGAGAGATAGAAACATCAATGATGAGAGAGAATCATTGACTGGCTGCCTCCTGCATGACCCCTACTGGGGATCAAGCCACAACCCGGGCATGTGCCCTTGACCAGAATCGGACCATGACCTCTTGGTTCAGAGGTCAACGCTTTTGTCATTAAATGGAATCGTTCACCTACCGTGTTACCTTGTAAACTCTAGTAGCACAGGAAAGCCGACATACTCCTTTGGCGGTTCTCAGACTGTGTCCCAGGAGGACCAGCAACAGAACTTTGAAACACAAATGACCAGGCCCCGCCCCAGACCTACTGAATTGCAGGTGGGGCTGGCCGTTTGCTCTAACAGTCCCTGCAGGTGATGATGCCTGATAACCTGTGAGCACCACTGGGCCGGTTGAGTAAGATTATTGCTGACCTAGTCCCATCGAGGGCCCAAACCTTTCTCCCTCAGTCCCTCTGCCATTCAGTGAGTCATTTATTCAGATGTGTGAAGGGCCTACCATGTTCCAGGCACTGATGGAAACACCAAGCCAAAAACTGACATCACCTTCAAGGAACTCACACCCCTGGGAAGACAGGTGGGTAAATCAGTGACAACACTTGTGCATCGTTAACAACAGGCCGCTTTCTGAGAACTGCCTCGGTAGGCAATGTTGTCACTGTGCAGACATCCTAGAGCGCCTTACACACCTCGGCTGTCTGCGCAGCCCACTGCTCCCAGGCTACAGCCCTGGCCGGCACGTCACTGTCTGAATTCCGTAGGCAGTTGTAACACAGTGGTATTTGTGCATAGAAACATATCTACACATAGAAAAGGTACAATAAAAACATGCTATAAAAGCCCGGCCAGTGTGGCTCCATGGTTGAACATCAACCTATGAACCAGGAGGTCGCGGCTCGATTCTGTCTGGGTTGCGGGCTCTGGTCCCCAGGAGATGGAGCATAGGAGGCAGCTGATCAATGATTCTCTCTCATCATTGATGTTTCTATCTCTCTCTCCCTCTCCCTTCCTCTCTGAAATCAATAAAAATATTTTTTAAATGTTTTAAAAGAATAGGGAGAGGGAAAACCATTGATTGGAGAGTGCAGCATTAAGCGGCTGCCTCCTGCACGCCCACCACCAGGGGTCAAGCCCAAAACCTGGGGACCTGCCCTGATTGGGAATCACCCCGGAGACCCTTGATGCCTGGGACCACGCCCAAGCACCCCGGCCACCAGGCAGCTTTTTAAGGAGCTCATTGAGGCTGCAGAGGCTCCTGCTAAGCTTCCCTGTGCGTTTTCCTGCGGCCTTATTCTTGCCGGGCAGTTTCCTTCCTCTGCCTCCTCTGCAGCTGTGTTCGCTGTGCCAATCCAGCCCCGCCCCGTCCGTCCGTCCCTCGGGAGCCAGGCCAGGTGCTCCGGGTGGTCCTCATCACGCTGAGGCTCACGTCGTTCCCATGGCAACCACATCCTTGTTCTTCACAACCTCTGTGCTGTGATGTGAAATGGCTACAGCGTCACCGGGGGGTGGGAGTTTTTCGGCTCTGTGGTCACTGTGTGACCGCCACTGCACATGTGGTCCACTGTGACCGAAGCATCATCATGTGGCACAGGACTGACAGTCTATCGGGTGAACGATGCAAGAGGGACCCCACAGGTCAGGGTCCCTAAACCAGGGACCTTGTGCCTGTGACGTCTGGGTCTCTGTCTTTCTTTTTTTTTTCTTTTTTTTAATCCTCACCCGGGATATTTTTCCATTGATTTTTAGAGAGAGGGAAAGACAGAAAGAAATACCAGTGTGAGAGAAACACATCGATCCCAGGCCAGGGAAGAGCCTGCAGCCGAGATACATGCCCTTGACCGGAATCGAACCAGGGACCCTTTGGTCCGCAGGCCGACGCTGTATCCACTGAGCCAAACCGTCTAGGGCTTGATTTCTGGTTTAAAATTCAATAAACCCTCAGAACCAGCAAGGACAGTAGAGATGTCAAGCTCGGGGGCTCCCAGCCTGGAGTCCACAGCTTACTGTGTGTGTGCATTCTCTGTGTACCTGCCCTGGGTACAAGGCCACGGCTTACTGTGTGTGTACATTTACTGTGGACGCAGGGCCACGGCTTTCCGTAGATCTCAGAGCAGTGACCCCGTATGTTTAAGAACCATGTTTCTTGTCTAATCTGTTCGGTTTGCAGAGGAAGAAACTGAGGTCCAAGGATAGGATATTACTCCTTTCAGCACTCAGATTGCTGCTCCAGAGGCACAGCTCTCTCCTGACAGGGCCTGGAGGCCGGTTCTGGGGCGGGAAGGAGGAATTCACACGACTTTACAGGGCAGTGATACTGTGTTAGTTCAGAGCACACAGCAGCAGAGAAAGCTCGGTTAAATACCAGCTCCCCCACTTTCTAGCTGTGAGATTGGGGTAATTAACTTCCTTGAGCGTCCATTTCCACCATGTACAAAATAGACATAACAATACCCATTTCTTGAGTTCTTACTAAAAACAAAATTGTTCATTTAAATTGTTCCCAGCTGTGCCTCCACGTAATAAACAGTCAGCATACGGTAACTACTATAATTTTCAGCACGATTCAGAGTTTGGGGACTTTTTACATTTGTTATCTCATTTTATCCTCACCCTAATCCAGGGGTGGGCAACCCCCGGCACGCGTGCCAAACATGGCTCGCCAGTAACTTTTGCTGGCACGCGAATCCCTCTCTTATAATCTTCCATTTACAATTGTGAATCTTTGTTCTCAGTGATGAATTTTGTGAAGTCTCGTAATAGGAGTAGCCTGACGGATGAAAGTAGTAGCTCATGCATATCTCTGAAGGTCACGAAATATAAACCTGATGTAAAATCTGTCATCAGTGATGCAGCAGCAAAAGTCCCACTGATAATATCAAACGGAGTCATAAAGTTTTCTGTCAGACTATCTGTACATGTATACATTAAAAAATAAATGTATTTTTCATCGTCATATACTGTGTTTTTGTCGCTCAAATGAATTTTATTATTTCTTCAAGGTTCTTCACATACGTACACCTTAAGAGATATCAAGTAGGCGTGACATGTTCTCAAAAAATTAGGGTTGGCACGCAGAAGAATTTTGAGTCAGAGATTTTGCTGGTTTTGGCACGCACTCACAAAAAGGTTGCCCACCCCTGCCCTAATCCTCGCTGTATTGTTCTCACTTGCCTGGAGGGAAATGATTCATCTACAGCTGCAGTGCCGCGGTCTTTGCTCTGTTACCCGGCACCGCTGGCCGGGCTGGGTCATGGGACGCAGACAATGCGCAGTTGGGAGCATCATTCTGGAGCCAAAGATGCCCCACCCACCAGCTACGTGACTGTGGACAAGTGGACAAGTGACCTCACCTCTGTGAGCCTCAGTGTCCTCATTAGTAAAATGGGGGTGGGGGGGACACCAAGAACACAAGGAACTGACGTGATACGTGAAGATTAAATAAGATACACAAAGCCCCTGACACCATTCGGTAAAAAAGGGCCCCTGATGGGCGTCTGCGGCGAGGGGGGCTGTGAAAACCAGGAGACAGCGCCTCCAGCACGGATGGCAGGGGCCCAGCAGGCACTCGCTCGACTCCTGGGAGGAAGTGGCTGAATGAACAGACCATGGCTACCCTTTACCAGGGAGTTGCTTCCTCTCTCTCCACGGTCTCACGCCATTTTTGTAACAGCTTCCTTGGATCCCTTGCTTTCCTTTCTGTTTCTCGCCACAAACAAAGCCTTTCTCTTTCACCCCAGGATTTCTCACTCTCCCTCCGTAACTTCCAGATTGAAAGGGCTCATCCTTCTCTCTACACTTTCAGCCACCTCAAAAGATGGCCCCTTTCTTTTCTTTCTTTTTAATTATTTTTATTTTCTTTATTTTTATCGACAGCAGAGAGAGGAAGGGAGAGGGAGAAGGAGAGGGAGAGGAGAGAAACACCAGGATTTCTCACTCTCCCTCCGTAACTTCCAGATTGAAAGGGCTCATCCTTCTCTCTACACTTTCAGCCACCTCAAAAGATGGCCCCTTTCTTTTCTTTCTTTTTAATTATTTTTATTTTCTTTATTTTTATCGATTTCAGAGAGAGGAAGGGAGAGGGAGAAGGAGAGGGAGAGAGAGAGAGAAACATCAATGATGAGAGAGAATCATTGATCAGCTGCCTCCTACAGGCCCCACACTGGGGATCGAGCCCACAACCCGGGCATGTACTCTTGACCGGAATCCAACCTGGGAGCCTTCAGTTCGCAGACCGACGCTCTATCCAGTGAGCCACACCGGCTAGGGCTGCCCTCTCTTTTCTACAAGCTCCCAGGCTTCCCCAAACCCTTCCCCAGCGGCACCTACCGGTCTGCACGACGCTGAGCCGGATCTCCCCGACGAGCCCGTCCACGTCGGGCGGGTTCTTCACCTGGCAGGTGTATGTCCCGTTGTCGTCGAACCGCAGCTTCCAGAGCATGATGGAGGCGTCGTACCGCTCGGGGTTCCCGTCCCAGACCACCCGGTCCTTGAACCGTCCGCTCATGGGTTTGAAGGGGTCCATGTGGTAGTAGAAAACCTGGGAGGGAGAAATGGCAAAGGTCTTCCTCAGGGCCAGGGCTGGGGGGTGTGGGGGGGAGCAGAAGAGACCCCGCCAGCCTCGAGGCCCGGCCGTGCTCAGCAGGAGCTCCCGGCTCTCCCTGCCAGCGGCCTCTGTCCCGGGAACTGCTTCCCAGCCCTGCCCTGTGCTCGTTGCTAAAACTCTAATAAATACATAACTGGCCCTGGCCGGTTTGGCTCAGTGGATGGAGCATCGGCCTGCAGACCAAAGGGTCCCAGGTTCGATTCCTGGTCAGGGTACACGCCTGGGTTGCAGGCTCAATCCCCAGTGTGGGGTGTGCAGGAGGCAGCCGATCCATGATTCTCTCTCATTTTTGATGCTTCTATCTCTCTCTCCCTCTCCCTCTCTGAAATCAATAAAAATATATTAAAAAATAAAAAAATGAACAGACACAGGAAGGGCCAGGAGAAACAGACGGGCTTGTTTTCCTAACCCAGATCCCCGAGAAAATGACGCCCATCTACTTACAAACTGCTCAGAGCCCCCATCCTGGGGGCGGAAATTCCAGGTCACGGTCAGAGCGTCGCCGACGGGGGCGAAGCTGGAGAAAGTGCACTTCAGCCGGACGTCCGTGCCGTTCACAGCCTCCAGCACCCGGGACGTGTAAATTTCCACGGCGGCTCCGGGCCCGAGAGCTGCGGCAGGAGCAGGAGGAAGAAGGGTCAACAGGCAGGAGCCGAGAGCTGCTGCCTCTGCCAGAGTCCCGTGTGAGCGGGCGCAGAGCGGAGCTGAGAGGCCTCCTCAACTTTCTCCACCCGCCTGCCTGCGGGCATGACACCCACTTCAAACTGTTAGGAGAAACCTCAGCCATCGGCAAATCAAAGGAAAGCAGAAACCAAGAAGTCTACAGGGATCCGAACATGCATTGGACGAGAGTTCGAGTGCCGCGGTATGTGCTGCGTGTGACGGTCCTTGAGCAGGGAGTTGTCCAGAGGGGCCCTTGCTACGTCTTCTGCAGAAATTAAGTTCAAGGCCAGACGGTTCGTGCTGGCAGGGACCCCGACGCTTCACACCCCGGCCTCCTCCGCATGACGGTCACGCTCAGAACGGCGTGGGGCGGGTCCAGACCACCCGGCCTCTCTCCGCACAGTGCGGCTCCCCAGCGCTGCCCCGGGGCTCCCAGCGGCCCAGACCCGACCCACAGGAGGCCCGCCCAAGCCCCGCCTGAGAGGAGGTGAAGCAGCGGCCGGAAAATGGTTGGTAACCTGAGATTTGAAAACCCTCTCTGTGCCCGGCCGCTGGCAGCCGAGTCTCACCGAAACCTGTTTGTCCAAAAGCAGTTCCTCCAAGTACCCCCTGACTTCGGTTTCAGTAAAGTCCACCCCAAAGCGGCTGCCACTGTGGCTCAGGCTCCAGAGGAAAACTCTGGCTCCTTCCTAGACAATTCGCTCCCTTCACGGGGTGGGCGGTGAGGGGGGTGCTGCGGGAGCCCCCCTGCCCCCCTCCCCCGCTCCCTGGCCCTTACCTGTGAGCTGTATGCCCAGCAGGAGCAGCGCAGCGCGCGGGAGGCTCCGGCCATACATGAGGAAGCCCAGCCCTGGCCCCCAGGCCAGACGGCAGACGGAGGGCTGCAGCCCCCTGCCAGGCCACTCCCGAGCGGGCACCTGCGTTGTCCGGAGCGAGGCAGCCCCTCACCTGTGGGAACCCGAGCGCCCGCGCCTGTGACTCATCCCTGCTCCGCGGGTGCACTTTGCTGGAATGAAAGGTGGGGCCTCCGCTCCCAGCGCCTCCCCCCTGCCTCCTCCCTCCGCCCTCTGCCCTGAGCGAGTCTGCACAGAGCCCCACAGCCGCAGCCTCGCTCTCCTGCTCGGCTCCTCTGGGCGCTGGCCTCCGGGTGGCTCGGAAGCGGCGGGGAGGGGGTGCCAGGCTGCCGCGTCCCAGCCGCTTTGGCCTTGGCCCCTGCACACGCTTTTTACAAACAGGCTGCAGGCCCGCCTGGGAAGGGGGTGTTGAAACTGCCTGGCAGGGATTGGCCTCCGGAAGCACCTCCCTGCTCAGCACCCTCTGTGGGCAAAGTCCTGCAGTGCCTGCCCTCAGCCTGAGTCACATGTGCCCATGCGGATTCTGAGCCTTTGCAAGCCCGTAGCTTCCCCGAGACCCACCTGCGATACACTGGCCAAAGCAACCTTCATGTCTAATGACCCTCCCCTTTGCAGCTTTTAAAGACCATCGGGATGGCATCCCTGCCTGGCTCCGGCCATCCCCACGCAGCCCGCAAAGCGCTTTTTCACCTGTTAGCGCATCTCTGCGATCCTCCCGCGGTGTTCCCACCCCACCTGCGAGGGTGTTCCCACTTCACCTGCAAAGACTCGAAGAGCCCAGAGGAGGTAAATGTTTTGCCCAAAGTTGCACAGCCAATAGGTAGCAAACCTGGAACTGTTCGGAGTCTTAAACCTAGTGCTCTTTTTACAAAATAACAGGCGTGTGAACAACCAACACAGAGGACTCTGCAGGAAAGGCCTTCAAAATACGTCACTGCCTTGGGCCTCCCAGTTCACCGGCCCCTTTCAGGGCCACCCCGCGGGAGGAAGCTCAGGTAGAGGAATTCCGATGCACCAAGGCCTCCCTCTCCAGAAGGAGGTCCGTGACCAGCCCTGGCAGCAGCGCAGGGGGGAGAGAGAAAGGTTCCGCCTGCAGTGAAGACGTGGGCTCGGCTGGCCCAGGAGCCTCTCCCCCAGCGCAGACGAACTGCCCTTGCAAATGCGTTAGTGATTCTGAAAATTCTGCCAGTTAAATCCTGGGACAGAGACGTGGCCAGGGGCTGGAGGCAGGGGCAGTCGGACTGGAAACGCTAAAACATGGGGAAGAAAAGAGAAAACTCTACTGAGAGAGGAAGATTACAAAAGTGAAGAACAAGAAAAGCAAAAGAGGAAAGAAAAACAGGGGGCGAAAATACGGTCACGGAGAAGGAAGAAAGGTAAGAAACAACAGAAGTCGGTGTGAGAGCTGAGCCTCACACCAGGCTGCCCGGAGGCAGGGCCCGCACCCAGCGGGACGCGGGGAGGGTTTCTGAAAACAGTGAGTGTGTGGCTCCTTTGTCAGCTCCCAGGTCTGCGATCAACCTAAAATCAGGGTGCGGGGGCCTTTGAAACAGCGAGAGGACAAAAGAGAGCTTTTCTGGTGGAGAAGTCCCGAGAGTTCAGCTCCAGGACCTGAAAGAAAGGAGTTAGGGGAACGGGATCCCCTGCTGGCGGGCAGCTCTCAGGAAGGCAGCCTGAGGGAGAGCGAGAGGGAGAGCTGAGGCCCAGCCAGCCGCCCAGTGTGCTGCGAGGTCGGGTTACCAGCGCGGCGGGAGGCACGAGAAGCAGCAGGAGAGGAACCAGGGCCAGAAGCACTGAACAAACTGCCTGTTGTCAGGAGAGAAGAACGCCCCCCAGGTAGCCCACCGCCTGGGGACACGGCCAGCCCTGCCAGGAGGGCCAGCAGCTGCCCAGGGCCCCGGCTCAGCAGAGTTCAAGCACCTGGCCTCGTGCCCAGCGACGCCCAGTTCCTTCCAGTTAGCAGGAGTGGCTGGGGTCACCCAGTTTCCCTCCCTGGGTGGGGCGGGAGGAGGCCAAGGGCGGGGCTAAGTAGAGAAAACACACATGAAAAGGAGGTTTGCCCCTAAGAGTCCCAGGATGCCGGTCAGCAGGACTTTGATAGAAGCTGGAGGCATTGGCTGGGTTCTGCCCACCGGCGGGGAGACCCCTGCTGTGGGAGACCCCTGCTGTGGGAGACCCTTGTTGTGGGAGACCCCTGCTGTGGGAGACCCCCTGTAGGAGATCCCCCTGTGGGAGACCCCCCTGTGGGAGACCCCCGCTGTGGGAGACCCCCTGTAGGAGACCCCCCTGTGGGAGACCCCAGTGGAGCCACCACCACCATGTCTGACCGGGAGGCAAGACCGTCACCTGAGGACTTGGGGGTGAGTAGGAAGGAGAAGACATTCAACTCAGAGTCCGTGGACAGGAGAGCAGTGAGGGTCACTTCTGAGTGAAAAGGACACACATCCCAGGAAACTCAGGGCCCCACACCGTCCCCAGTGGGAGTCCAGGGACTGCACTCAGGTTCTCCCTGAAGGTCAGAGAGTGGCTGGTGATCATGCCCCAGGAGGACGGGCAGTGGAGGGGACGATGGGGTTGAAGTCCATCAGGGGCAAACAGGGGGTCATTCCTTTTGTTTTGGTTTTTATTCTCACCCAAGGATATTTTTCCATTGATTTTTAGAGAGAGTGCAAGAGAGGTGGAAGACACAGAGAGAAACATCGATGTGAGAGAGACACATTAATCGGCTGCCTCCTGCCCATGCCCTGACCAGGACCAGGTATTGAGCCTGCAACTGAGGTGCATGCCCTTGACTGGAATAGAACCCGGGACCCTTCAGTCCACAGGCCAACACTCTATCCACTGGGCCAAACCGGCTGGGGCTGCCCTCTCCTTTGGAGTGTTGCGCATGTGCACAGGGAGGACTGGTGCTTTCTGGCTTGTGATAAATAAGGTGAGTTGATGCAAGTGTCATAACAACGTCTAACAGCCCGGGTTCCAGCCTATGACTGCTTCCCTTCAGCACTGGGCCTTCCCGGGGGAGGGGAAGTTCCCAGAGACCTGAACTCCGGGAAAATTATCTTTCCTCAACTTGAAGCTTCTTTTAAAATTTGAAAGTCAAGCCCCAGCCAGTTTGGATCAGAGGATAGAGCATCGGCCTGCAGACCAAAGGGCCCTGGGTTCGATTCCGTTCAAGGGCATGTACCTCAGTTGCAGGGCCCTCCCCGACCTGGTCCCTGGTCGGGACACGTGCAGGAGGCAACAATCGATGTACTTCTCTCACATTGATGTTTCTCTCTGCTTTCCCTCTTTCTGAAAATCAATGGGAAAATATCTTTGGGTGAGGATTTAAAAAATAATAAAGATCTGAAGGTCTGGACCAAAAGAAGAGGAGCACCAGGTCAGAGTCCGGATGACAGGCGGGGTGAGATAAAGACGAACTCCAAAGCCGCTTCACTAGAGAGAAGGCATTGGAAGAGGAAGGAAGGCTCTGCCAGAAGGTCCCAGCGCAGCGCAGTGCCATCAGCAGAGAGTAGCTATTCGTGCAGATGTGTGTACAACAGGACACTGCTCTTTTCATTTTATGTCTGCTTTTGGGATATGGGCTTTCAATGGACATTGTCTGCACCAGCTTTATTAAAATGAACAAAATATTTGTAAAAATTATTTTAAAAAAACAAACAAAAAACAACAACTGGAGGCATCCAGGTAAGGCCTAGGTTATAGTTAGCGTCTAGGCCAGTGATGGCGAACCTATGACATGCATGTCAGAGGTGACACGCAAACTCATTTTTTTGGTTGATTTTTCTTTGTTAAATGGCATTTAAATATATAAAATAAATATCAAAAATATAAATCTTTGTTTTACTATGGTTGCAAATATAAAAAATTTCTATTTGTGACACGGCACCAGAGTTAAGTTAGGGTTTTTCAAAATGCTGACACGCCGAGCTCAAAAGGTTCGCCATCACTGTCTAGGCAAATGAAAGAACAGGAAGAGGAATTCTAGACTAAAAGAGGGGAAAAAGGGAAGCTCCTCCCTCTGTCCCAACAGCCCACACATATCCCGACACATGGCTAGCGGAGCTCGGCCTTGGCCAGGAGGGGCTCGCAGGGGCCCAGAAGACACGGAGGACCGAGGGCCTGGATCATCATTTGTAAAAATGGTCGTCTCAACAGCCCAGGCAGAAGTGGTTTCCTCGCCACAAGATAAAACTCGCATCCTGTGAAGCACAGTACACTTAGCTCTCTGGGTAGTTCAAATAAAGTGTGTGTTTACTCAAAGGTTCCTGTCCATGTCTTTCTTACTAGTAAAAGTTTTATTAAATTGCTGTTATATGCTGGGCTAGACATGTAAAGTAGAATGAGACATTTCTGCCTGGTGGGGGGGTGATCAGAATCTAAAGAGGAAGTGAAGTATGTATGTAAATAAATAATTAGCATATTTGTGACTTTTGAACTGAACCCTTAAAGGACCAATAAGAATTCTGGAAAGATGCCCGGCTGGTGTGGTTCAGTGGTTGAGCGTTGACCTAGGAACCAGAAGGTCATGGTTCAATTCCCAGTCAGGGCAACATGCCCGGGTTTCAGTCTCGATCCCCAGTGTGAGGCGTGCAGGAGGCAGCCGATCAATGATTCTCTCTCATTATTGATGTTTCTATATCTCTCTCCCTCTCCCTTCCTCTCTGAAATCAATAAAAATATATATATATATTTTAAAAAGAATCCTGGAAAGAGATGAGAAACAAAGGTAATCCTGTTGGGACAAATGGGTGGGAATATGGTGTCACCTGGGGACTCCAAGCAACCCCTCAATACTGGAGGAGGGCCAGGCCAGGAGGCGGAAGAGAGATGCAGGGCTCAGATGTGGAGGGTCCTCATTAAGCCTGAGGGGAAATAGTGAGGGGCAATAGTGAGGGGAAGTAATGAAAGTCTTGAGACATCAGCACCACATACTCTACAGTGTTCTCACTAAAAGTAGAAACTTAACACGAGTTTTCAAAAGACTCAGAGATTCCCAGTTTTCCCTTACCAACAATTCCTATTTACACCTCCTTAAAAAAAATTCCTCTGGTTTAGAGAGCCTTTTAACAATGAGAGAGGGAGGTGAGGATGCCATAGTCCTAGATGAGAGGCAGCTCTTGGCCCCCAAAGAAAAGGTATGTTCCCTTTGGTCCTCCTCCTTGTCTCAAGTTTCCTAGGGATACTCCAGAGTAGGTGTGGGTCTGAGACTGAGCTCTGACAGCTTAGAAGACCTGGGAGGGCCCGGCCCATCTCCCCTCAGGCAGCGGGGACACCATCTAGGAGAGCCTGAGGCTCCTTCCTAATTAGAGGAGAGACCAGGCTCTTATTAACCAGCTT